CACATTTTGAGTCTGTTCATAATCTCAGCTATTGAATGTCTAGGTTCTTTTTTTCTTTACCAGTTAAGCGTAGGCTGCTGAAGCTGTAGAGTATAAGTTCAAGCAGGGGAGACAGCTAATTATGTCACCCTCCTTGCTTTGGCCACTATAGTCACCAGAAGGGTTTGTATGAGTTCTTCCTAATTAATCCAACTCAAGTGAAGACGGAATTATCTTAAATAGCTAGAAGGGAGTTTTGACTCAACCTAACTGACCGCCAAGCACTCAGTTCTGCCAGCAGGGCACAGATTGTGTCCTCTAGCTTGCAAATGATAAACTTTTGGGAAGATAGTATCTTCAAATCTTAAATTTGAAAGGAGACACCAAACTGTGCCCAGTAATGACTCTGTCGTAGGGGATAGAATTTAGAGTTGGGGAAGACTGACAGAGTAAAAGAAAAGAAATGGGGATATTAGAAATTGCTATAGCAGACATTTTTATGCTATCCTAATTCTGTATGGGTTCAATTTCTTTGTATGCCTGGCATATTTCTTTGTAGATGCTACAGCCTCCTCCTCTTTCTCCTTAGTTTAATTGATATTCTTTTAGCATAGTTTTAAAATTTAGTTTGGAGAGTAGAAAATGCTGCAGAAGATGAAGACTAGAAATACATATGTTAGGAAATTAAGAATTGATGGTATCGAATGAATTGAGATGATTTGGGATTGCCTTTTTTTGTCTAAGAAGGACCACTGTACTATAAGCTATACTGTAAGCTGTTTCCCTTTGAATTCATCATTCATTTAAGCAACTAGATTTTGAAAGTGTTTTGTTCTGAATTTAGGACTTGATAAAATTGAATTTCTTCAGAGGCATGAAAACCAAGAGATTTACCAAAAGGCTTTTGAACTCATCGAACATTACTTTGGTGTTGAAGAGGAGGACTCCAGTATTGCACCTCAGGTGGATGAAAGTCAACAGCAGTTTGTGTTTCAGCAGCAGGAGGCTCCAATGGAGGGGTTTCAGCTGTAAACTGCTGAAGTGAAGACAAGCATAAAGTGTAAACACTTGTAGGGTTTGGGGTTTTTTGTTGGGTTTTTTGTTTGTTTTGGTTTGGTTTTTTGTTTTGTTTTTTTTTTTCCCCAGAGGTCTTTTCTTTATGGCCAAAGTTAGAGGAAAAGTTGAACATGTTTTGCAGAAATAGATGAAGAAGCAGCTCATGCACTTTTATATATTGTGTTAGATACAACTGTTTGTTTTGTATTTGTGTTTTTTGTTATCTCTTATGTACAGAAAATAACTGTGAGTAGTCATGTCTAAAGTAAAGCATTAAATGTGATTTAACAAGAACTGTTAAGCTAAGACTTGGTAGGATTTTAGGTAGTGGTTCTGAATTTTTCATGTAGTCTCAAACTGCATATCAGCAATACAGTTACCGACAGTTGCGTTTTTGGCAGTAGGCTTGACTTGCCCAGTCTCTATCAAATCTACCTCTTGTATTGAAGCAAAAACATTGCTTCAGAACTAAGGCATGAAATAAAGGTGAGCTTGTAAGAAGCTGAATTGGAATGTGAAAAATATTTATTTAAATTCTGAAACTTTTATGCATTACTTACTTTACCAGACACTGTTGGAATTTATTTATAAAATGTATTTAAAGACATAATAGATAGACATATATAATGCTAATTACCTAATATGATACTGAATATATGAAAAAGCTTTTTCTGAATTATGTGGGAAGAGGACTATTTCAGAGGTTTTCAAATTGGAGTCAGCAGAGAGCTTGCTGGTCATTTGATGTTGGCTCTGTAATTAAAGCTGCTAAATGGCATCAAAAGTCAGCCCCAAGTAGAGTGCTTTGCAGTGGAAGCAGTTGCTGCAGTTACCGCAGGAACGCTGCGATGGTGAATGAGGGAGATGCTGATTTGCACAGCTTACCATGCAGATGGTTGACAGCTGTCTCTGGTCAAATCTGGTAACACCACTTTAGTTTGAGAAACATTGCAATGTTTGCCTTCCTAGAACAGTAGCTGCTTAAAAGTTTAGACAGTAGGTGTTATTTTTTTGACCAAATACGCTACTGCCACTTGAATTGTTCTTTACGTTAACTAACTTGGTTTTCTTTCGGTAAGACAATAGAAATACTGCCGTGAAGAATGAATAGTGAATTGCTCCTTTCCAGTTGAAGGATAAGTTTGTTGTACTGTAAATAGCATTAAGTACGTGGACACCAAAACTAACTAGAAGTTATTATCCTCTAAATATTTAGGCTCTGCAATGTACAGTGTTTGCTGCTAAACACTAAAAGAAACAGAATTCTAATATTTACATTAACAATTCTGAATACAGAAAAATGTATGCTCTGCTTTGACTTGCATATAAGTAGTGTTTCTGGTGTATTAGTAGTATATCTCATTTGGAGAAATTGATACTTTGGGTTAACTCTGAAGTATGATTATTTTTTATTACCTGTAATTAATGTATTAACATGGAACTCCTGGGTTAAGTGAAATCCTTGACATAGGAGGGCATTTCATGCTTCATAAAAAGCTGCAATTTAAACTTCAAATGACTTACCCCATGGCACTGTGCTTGTCACTAAACAATATTTTAATGCACTGAAAAATACAGGTTAAAGGTGGTATCATTTACAGTACCATTTTATATTTGGACTTTTTTTTTACATGCAAGTTAGGATTCTAAGATGTTTCACTTTGTTACAGCAATATCTACTATATTGTAATTTCATGTGGACTTGAAGTGGATTTTCTAAGATTAATGGTCAGTTTTGACTAAGATGTAACTGAGAGGGAAGAAACCTCTTTTTGAAGTCTTTTTACCAGAAGATAGAAGTGTAAGAAGTGTATATAGGAGTGCTGTTACTTATGAACTCTGAATAATGAGATATTTTAGCAAATGACACTTTAAACCTAGATTTGTACAGCATACAACAGTTTTGAATAGTGTGATCATGTTGAGTACAGCTGCCAAATTTTAATATAACGTTAGATGATTGTATTTGTGCCCTTTTTACTCTCATAGTTTTAGGTTTTCATATGCTGACCTTCCTCCTTTCCTGCCCCCCCCCATCTGTTCAAAGTACAGGGTAACAATCATGGAAATCTACCAGGATTACTCGTCAATGCTGAATTTCAATGTTCTTCTAGTGTAAGAAATTTATTCAGGTAACAGGGTATTCCATTGTTTCTGACAACCTTGTTTTGATAACATAACCAGCTGTGCCTGCTTTTTATTTGGAGCACCCTGTAAAAACTGCATTTGTAAGCCTCTCTAATTTAAACCAAATCAGAATTATAAAAATCTTGATTAAAAGACTTGAAAATGACAAAAAGAGGGGACATTTAAAGTATTATATTTGTTTTGAAAGAATGTCTTCAGTTGTGTGGATATATTACTCTATATGTGTGAACAGTTAGTGGCGGCACTTTACGCATTTAGATAAACTGTATTTCATGCCTCTGATACATTTAAATGTAACGGGAACTAAAATTGATGGACTTCAGCTAATGAAAATCATTATTTAAACTCAACATTTGGTTTACCCTAAAATTGTTAAAACCAATTCTTCTTTAAAGGATAAACATACAGGATGGCCTCTCCTATTTTATCACTGGGTTTACATCACACTTTGTTAAAAGCACATAAATGAACAATATAAAACCAGGGATGATGACTTGAGGTCAGCTCTGGTCTAGTCATTTGCAGGTAGGGGCGTGCATATGGGGATGTTGCCAAAACAGATGAAACCGGGGGGGGAGAAACAAACCAAGGTGTGAGAAGAAAAATCTCTTTAAGTTTGGTATTTTATATGGAATCTTAAGTGCCGCATCAGTTACAAAGCCTGTCTAAAAAGACAGGGTTTTGGGTTTAATTAAAAGGGTACCATTTGTTCTGCTTAAATGTGAATACTAACTAGCTAATCTATGCAACTATGCAGAGCATAAGAAATTTTTTTGTTTTAGTTCCCTACTCTTGATACACTGAATCATATCTAATTTTTTCATCTTTGCACTTTTGTCTGAGGACTGGTTCATACAGCTTTTTCATTTTCTAGTATTTGCTTTAAACACTGTTGCTAGCAGCAATCAGAAATAGTAATAATGTTGGCACAGAAATAAGTTAGCTGTAGAACAAGTTTGCAACTGGAAAATACTTATTGTTGGGTCTGTCTTTAAAAAAAAAAAAAAAATATAGAAAAGATGCACTATTGTCTTTCCTGCATGGTTAGTTCTCAGTTGGTTTAAATTGGTTAAATTGTACCACAGAGGATTTTCATAATAGGTCTGCCAATTGATGCGTGAAGTTTAACTGTGACCTCACAGATCTGGAATGAGAAATTTCAGTTACGGCACAATATCTTCATACAATATATGGAAACTAAATTACCTATATTAAATTCAGATAGTAATAGTGCATCTTTAAATCCAGGCCAAAGGCCCACGACTGTAACAGAACACATATGAGTAGTATGCAATATTACGGAATGTTAAATCTCCAAATACCATACAGAAACCAATAAAACCTATTTTACAGGCGTTTATTGTATTTATTTAGTGCTTCGATAAGTGTGGCTTCTTAAACTAGGAAACGCAAATGCCATTTTGAGTACAGCATTGAGGCAAATGAGTTCAAAGTGGCTGAGCTGTGCCCTGTAAAAACTATGCACTGGCACCAGACAGAAAACTTTTTGGTTTTAGATATATTTTGGAAATGCCTAACTGAACATTCCTGGCATTCTTAGGAAACTACCTCGTCTCCTTGAAAATCAATTACTGCTTCTCATCATATGCAAAACATTCTAACGAATTTTAATTATATGCAAGAAGGAGTATCTCCCTAAGCAGAGACCCTCCGTCTCTTTTTGTGACCCTGTAACCACCCTTAGCGGTTCCAGCGGGTGCCATGCCGCCGTTGTCCGGTTACTGGTGAAACTCGCCCCTCGCTGTCAGCCACCGCTCCTTTTCCTCCTCCGAGGACGTTCGGCGTTTCGCCCGAAGTTACTTTGGCTTCGACTCGGCTGCCAGCGCCGCCTCCTTCCGCCACTGGGCCTTCTTTGCCAGATTCCAGCTTGTTAAGGACTCGTGACGTGCAGCCGCCTGCCGGAGTAAAACATCCGCCTCAGAGTAGCGTAGGAGTAAAGGCTGCACCTCGGAGAAAGCTGCCCCATCTCAGGAACAGCCAGGGCTGACGGGACGTAGGGTAGGTCTAAGCTCTTGGCTTAGAATTTCACAGAATGCCATCATTTTAGCTGGCGGGGTACTCACCTTCTTAGCCGAGGCAATCACTGCGAAACAGGCGACGATGGAGAGTGCAATCATGATGTAACAAGCTTTAACTCGAGCTTTGTTTCTTGCCCTGTCTAGCATCTCTGGCCTGCAATTAAAGTTATTGAATTGAATCATTACAAAGCTGTGAAGTATCTCTTCTTGAAAGCATCGCAGACCTAACATCACAATTGAAAAAGAAAAATAGAATCAGCTTTTAAAATGGGCATCTTCAGCTTACTGTGATTGGTTATGTGCCACCCGATTTCTGACCCTAATCCATTTCCAGTGGAAAAGCAACATTTAATGGATTTAAGCTAAAAAAAAATAAAAATACGGCTCATGCAATAAATATTTGCTTTTAAATACTTGGGGTAAATACACCAGAAATCATACCTTAAACTCTATTTAAACAGGGAAAATAAAGGGGTTTTCTTTATTACACAGATGAGGAAGCATGTGTAGTGTTGACCATATGCAGTGAAAGCAGGTTCCTTTTATTCAAAATTAACTAGAAATTAGTTGCTGTCACATCTAACCTGTTTAGATGGCGTCTGTAGGCTAGGGACTCATACTTGAGTCGGTGATTCAAACAGAGTGAGGACAGCTACGAGTAGAGTTTTTAGTTCTTTAGAAAAGCAGCAGCTTGATTTAAAGCGGGCAGGTGATGTCAGGCGCCTGGCTGTTCCCGGAGCACAGGGCCCGCAGCGAGAACAAGCTCCGTGATTACCTTTGCTGGTCATCCAAGGCAAAAGTCAGGAGAAGTGCCCCGCGTTTGGCAGTAGCTGCTGCCGGAGGCATCGCCGGGCCCAGCGAGGTGCCGTGGTCCAGCTCCCCTTGCCGCCACCCTCCCGTTTGGGCGGGCTGCGCACCTCGGGAGCCAGCCCTCCGGGAAAGCTCCGTATCCCTAAAATTGCCTCAAAACTTCCAGTGAAGTTTTTTTGCAAGCCCTTGGAAGTACAGGTTTTAAGATGATCGTTATAATGCTGGCAGTGCTCTATTTTCCTTTCATAAATCACATGGGAATGCTTTCTATATATGAATATTCATAAGATATAGAATATAAATATACATCATGTACAGTCATGGTTTTATACGTTACATATACATATAAAAAGGATAGTTGCATAAAGAATTGACTTTATGTTGTGAGTAAAGAGCTCGTAACGCTCTCCTCCCCAGAGACCGTTAGCTTTCCTTCAGAGAGGATGGGTGGTGGGATGGGGCAGGGCTGGGGTCCTTCCCGTGGGAGTTCTGCCCAGGGGAGCCCGCGCCAGGGCCGAGGGCTGCAGCGCTTCTCTCCGGGGCTTAATGCCAGGGAGGGCGAACGCTGCGGGGGGCTGTGCCCTGCTCCGCACCCCCCGCGCTGCCCCTGCCGCCTTCCTTGCCGGTGCCTGACAG